TTTAAAGTGTCGCCTATGGCCAATTTTGGTTGCCGTCGTTTTCTGCGATGTCGCGGGTGCGCGCAATTTTAAAGCTTGACATGTTTAGTGTCTATTTAACCGACGTGACCTGATCTTTAATATTTGACCAAAAAACTGGGTAATAATAAATGTTTCCTAACATAATGTTACAAAAAACGTTTTTTTTTCAAAATTTTCAGTAATTTTTCCTAATTATAATAAAAAATAAAACCCGTAGTGGTGATTAAATACCACCAAAAGAAAGCTCTATCAGTCCCCAAAAAATGGTATAAAATTAATTTCAGTACAGCGTTGCATGACGGAACAAATGTCAGTCAAAGTATCGCAGCGCTGAATACTGAAAAATGGCCTGGCCAGGAAGGGGGTCTAAACACCTGGTCTTGAAGTGCTTAAAACATTTTTTTTAACATTTTAATCTAATTGTTTTAAAACTTTTTTTTTTACTTCACTTAATTGCTATCACATAAGGGGGGTTACAAGCCCCCTGTGTGATCGCATATTAGCGATGACAGGTTCTCTTTACAGTAACATTAAGGGTCAATTAGACCCCCAAATGTCACCTTTGCACTTCAAATAAGCTAGGAAGCAATCTAGTGGCAGCTGAGCCGCCAGAAACGCTTCCACTGTAAATCCGACAGTCTGCTTTACACACACACAGTCTGTTTAAAGGGGCCCGCTGCCAGCGACGTATATACTGCTATTTTATTTTTTGTTTAGAGGGAAAGAGACAAAAAGGTACATTTTAAGTTTTCAGTTCAAATTTAATCCATCGAAGCGTAACTTTTATTAAGTTTTACATTGGGGGAGGGTAAGAACCTGTTGGGTTTTTAGCATTGTCTATCTCTGCTGGATAGATTTCTCAGGACAAAAAGTGACAACAGCACCCTCTATTTCTTAAAGGGCATCACATGGACACACTGAGGTCACAGACATAAAATACATTAAAATTTAATTTTGAACTCTTCCCACTCTATACAAACCTAAACAAAAAAAAAACCAAATTGGACAAACTAAGGCTTTACTTGCCAATTTACTGTCCATTAGCAGACAACCATGTGCTGTGTTTCTAACAACCTCCTCTTCTATATCATGAAATTTAATAGAACAACTTACATAAAAAATACAGGTGAAGCTCCTGCTTCTACATGGGAGCATACCTTTTGTTTCTTGGATGAGACCTGTAATGCTAGAACATACTGGGTAGGGATAACCATGTACAGGTTTCAGTTTTTAAAATTGATAAATATCTCCTGTTAAGAGCATTAACAGTTTGTTATTTTCACACAAAAGGTAGTTTTTTATTGTTTTCCTGCACACTAGTTTTAGTGTGCAGATTGGACCAGTCCGACACTAGATTTTCACAGACTGAGCTGAAAACAGCATGGGAGGCTGTAGCTGTCAGAAGACATGTACGCGTTTGTGTGCCTGTACAAATTTGCCTTTAAAAGTAGAATTTGTACTTCAATTTCCAGGAAGTAAACTTTGGAAACCAGTAAATGCAGTGGTACACCACTCTGTGCCACATAATAGATTATATGAACAATTACCTCATACAACAGACATCCTAATGACCAAATATCAGATTTGAAGTTGTATCCGTTTTCATGTATCCTTTCTGGTGACATGTAATAGGGGGTACCAACTGTAAACAAGAGGGGGAAAAAAAAAAAATCACTGGAGCACAATATCAATAGTAAAAGGACAATGTAAGCAAGTTAATGGTTCATTTTAGCTATAGAAAATCTGCTGCCCCAAGGGACTGGACACATGTCCATCTCCAGACTACTACACTTAAAAGATTGCACCACTCCTCCACAGCACAAAAGCAGGGGGAATCTAGGTGCTCACCGGCTGGAGCTCATCCTCACTCTTGCGTTGGATGCAGTCAAAATAATAAAACATCCGCCGCACTCCATATGTCGATGGAAACTTCATTTTTTTCAAATAACACATCTACACAAAGTCCACTCTCAGGTCTGCCCCTCCAATGCGTTTCATTTTGAAATCCTGGGCTTAAATCGTAGAGTTCACCTCCGGACCACTGCTTTGCAACTTTTGCCTTGTTAAATTAAAACATGCAAGAGATGAAACTGATCCTTGGGTACTCTGGGTGGAATCACAGTAGTAGTAGTACAGTAAACTCCCCATTATCCGGCATTCAAGCAACCAGAAGAAAAAAAAAAAAATCGAGGACATATGTCCTCAATTTTTTTTGCCAGTTACTTGATAGACATTTGCACATTAAAATTTTTTGTTAGCAGCTAAATTTATTTAGTTGCTAACGAAATTCTCTGTTTACATCTTGCGGCGGCCAAGGGCTAGATTGCTCAGTTGGCAAGTGAATGCAAACAACGGGCAGTGGGCGTGTGCAATAGGCAGCCTGCTATTGGCTATGGCAATTTGAAATAGCCAATAACAGAATCTAGCCAGCAGGTGAATGGGGGTTGTTGCTTGAGAGCTAATAGTAACTCTCGAGCAACCAGAAACTACAGTTATCCAGCATCTACCAATCCCCATGGGTGCCGGATAACTGGAAGTTTACTGTAGTAGTAGTAGTAGTGGTGGTGGTGGTGGTGGTGTTTAAACACCTTGATGAGTTTCATGTTGAAATGCATAGTCATAAGGCTAATCCTAATTACTAGTAGTAATTCAGCCTTATGAGCAATCACTTCAGCATGAGACTACTTGAAGGCATTCATGCACCATGGTTACCATTTTGATTTCTAATAAACCTGATCTACGAACAAGCTGCATGGACTTAACACTAGGGACGGCTTATGCAACATTTAAATCCCAGTTTTTCTGTACATATATCTATATATCTCTATGTATAGAGATATATAGAGATATATAAAAGCCCATAGTAGCAATTTTGCTGAGATTACCAAAATCCAATTGTTGGCATGTCTGAGGTCAGCATATCATATAGTGAACCCAAACAGTACAGTTCAAACGTATAATACAAAGTAGTGATTTTCTAAATGCCTGCCAATAGGCAACCTAGGGCACACAAAAAACAGGCCACATTGATGGTAAAACATTAATAGCAATACCACAGATTGTACAAATTAACAGGTGACAGACAGACACAAGTGAGGTCACAGGAATGCAGAGGGAGGGGGTGCACTGTCACAGGGAAGCAAAGGAACTGGAGAGAAAGGCTCGTTTTGTGTCTAGAAAGTGAAGGACAGTAAGATAAGAGTGGTCAATCAAGAGGTCATCTCCTTTGCAGAGCGTGGTTGGGAATGAAGAGGATGATCTGTCTGTATATCACTTTCTACATCACACAGAAGCATGGGATAAAAAGCAACATACACCATAGGAGTTAAGTGACTGAGCTGTGAAAAATACTAGGCGAGACTTTAACGCTTACAGAATAAGGCCTAATTCACACCGAATCTGTTGCGTTGGATTACCATCCGTTTTTTTTAACTGATGGTAACGCAAGGCCAATGAAAAATGAATGTGTGAATGGGGACAGTTTACACCGCAGTGTTTATACTTCCCAGATCAGTTTTTCTTGCTCTTAAAGCAGAATTAAACCTTTGTTTTTTTTTGCATATCTCTACTGCGCTGAAGAAAAACAAAAAGTACAGCATGCTCTACTTTTTTTCACTGCAACGCATCACAAAAGTATGCTAATGCAACGCATCACAAGCTATTACAGTGAAGCATGTCAACTCAGGACAAGTTATTTCACAAAGCTTTCCCACCCCCCCAAAAAAAGAAAACGCGACAGAAGGAAAAGGAAATTGACAGGTACCTTTCGATTTTGGTGTGAATGCATCCTAAATGAATAAACCCTGTAAGTTGAAACTAATTACAGTATAACTTAAGTACAATTTAAACTCTTTTAAAAGGGAGTTAAGATTTACAATATTTAATTTGTAGATTTAATTTGTAGATTTAAATGTTCAGACGGATATAAATTTATTAATACATTCTAATGTCTAAGCCTCAAGCATACAAGCCTCAAAAAACATTTGCCGAGGTGCGTTAGGAGCCAATTTCTAAATGCATCTGGACTCATGTAATGCTTTTCTCTCACTCATTGTACGCCAAGTCATTTTAACAGCACCGAGGTGCGTTAAGCCTAGCTACGCTTAGATAAATATGTGCATCCTGGAACAGTTCGGCCTGGGTTTATGCAGCAAAATATGTAAACGCATTTAAACTGAGGAAGTTATGTGGGAAGCATAGAGTTTGTTTATACTTCCCAGATCAGTTTTTCTTGCTCTTAAAGTAGAATCAAACCTTCTGGGGTTTTTTTTTTTGCATATCTCTACTGCTAGCAAGCAGTAGAGATATGCAAAAACATTAATAACAATTAAAAAAAGAAAGTTACCAAAAAAGGTAAAACTTACCTGCGTCTCCGCCGCGTGTTCCTGTCCGAAGTTCTGAAGATTCTTGGGAGGCCGCGAAGGATCATAAGGCAGGCGCATGCGCAGTAGAGATCTTCAGCCGGGAGAAGAGGAGAGACACAGGGCAAGTTAATGTAGGCATCCGGCAGCATGCCCATGGGACAGTCAGCGCTGGATCAGAGACCGGCACCAGACTCCTGAAAACTACTGGAAAGAAGATGATCGGATCAAGAGGCATCATTTAAGGTAAGTCCTTAAAGCACCATTGGGGTGAGGGGGATTTTAGACTTTGTCACCTTAACTGCAAAAAGAATTGCAGGAAGCCTTTTGTGAACGACACCTTAAAAATTAAATGTTAAGTGGTTTTGGACTTTTTTTTTTTTTCCAGGAAATTCTTTTTTTCTAAAGTTGTTTTTTTTTAGTCCGGTAAATATGAACAAATCGTTTATTAAACATTTAACATTACCGATGTGCTGCTACGCTCTGCTCACAAAACAAGTATATAAACTGAACAAGCCACAGGGAAAAAAAAACCCTTTAGTATCTTATATTTTATTTTGACATTTAGTAAAGCAAAACTGGGAAAAGACCTATAGATGAAAAACCTATTTCTTTCCTGTTTTACTCTTTAACGGATATTGTAATGTACACACCTTCCAACACTACAAGAGCAGCCAGAGAACATAGGTAACATCTAATTAAGCATTTTATTTTACAGCTTCAGCAATTCAGCTACTTATGTCACCTTTAGCCCTTCACGCTGTACAGTGAATGAGCATAATGTTCCCTGTCCATTGAATCTAGTTGCAGTTATGCCAAACCAGTAACTAGCAGGCTAAACTAGGGGGAGAGAGGTAAAGAAAAAAAAAAAAAAAGGCTGTAAAATATGATAAATCTTAAAAAACAAGAACACATATTAGTACAGAGGTAAGCAACCTAGGCACTCCAGCTGTGGCCAAACTACAAATCCCATTATGCCTCAGAGTCATTTCTGCGGCTGTCAGTTTTGAAATGTCTCATGGGATTTCTAGTTTCCCCACAGCTGGACTGCCGAGGTTGCCTACCCCTGTATTAGTAAGGGGGGGGAGTAAGTGGAATTGAATATAAACCGCCCTCTAGTGGCCTGCACGTCTTTATATTTAATACAACATGAAAATCATGACCAAGCAGGTAAAAAAGGCAAATAACTCACATTAATGTCATAGCTACTGCAGTGACAGCTTAAAATATTGTGCTCACTAGAAAGACACTATCAACGTTACACAAGTGTTAAAATCTTAGAGTCTGTCTACAACAGGATATCTATGCTGTTATAAACAGATGTGTTATGATTGTAGCATGTCAATGATCAAAGCTGAGCCTCTTGTTTTAGCTCATATTAGTTTTGAATTGGTCTCTCCATCCTGGTAGAGGTACCTTGCAATCTCCCTTATCTTTTGATTATATGTGTGATATGGTTTTGTTTACCCAAGTATGAGAACAATAAAAAAACGAATGTGCATAAGCGCTGTATGTTTTGTAAGTTTACCAGCTTGGGAAAATGCCATGAGCGTACATCTATGAAGCATTCACTTTCTCCTATGTACCATTTAATTAACTCAACTTACAATATGGTAATAACTTTTCCAATAAAAACACAACCCCGTGTTCTAGCATTTCCCTTTCATAAACATGCAGGCATTTTGGAGCAGGCAAAAAAAAAAAAAAAGCAACTTCCCTGATTAGAAAGGTCGCGTATTTTGGGACCAAATAAATGGGTTTCTTTTTATGAAGCCCTTGTAATTCTTTATTCATTATACTGCTGGTAAAATGTCTTTCCTTCATAGGCTAGTCTCTGAATTTTTTTCTCCCCTTTAAATCTTAACAACGCAACCATAAAATAAATAAATCGGTGGTTATGGTGGCAGCGGGTTCTTTTAAAGTCAGTTCCAAGGTCAGAGGTCGTCATAACAGGAAACTCCTGAAAGCTACGTGAAATTAATAGTGTGCCTCGACACAGGTTAATAGGGCTTTCTGGAGGGGGCTGTGGGTTTCACAGCTGACACATGGCATCAGACTGGGCAGTAAAACACCCACTCAGTACCCGTGCCTCTTAGGACAGCTTACCTAAAGAATGTGCAGCTGTGGTTTTGGAGCTGAAGAAGCGGCCCAAGCCTAAATCCCCCAGCTTCACCACGCCTGTGGCTGTTATAAACACATTGGCTGGCTTAATATCTAGAGGGAAAATGGTACATTTAAAAACTCAATACCAAAACAATACAATCAGGAAGTCTGTACATATTAAAACATAAATGCAATAAAAAAATAACACTTACTGTCCAGAAATGCAACTTTATAGAATAAATGTACAACTTTATTTTTAATTAATGTAGATCTTATGTACCGTGTTTCCCCGAAAATAAGACAGTGTCTTATTTATTTTTTTTGCACGAAACAAGACACTAGGTCTTATTTTCGGGGGATGTCTTACCTGGCTGGGGGAGGACCGGACGAGGTCCCGGAAGGCGGCGTGCTGTTGCCGGTCCCGGTGGATGATATTCCGCTTCCATCGTGCGTGCGGGCGCTGCGTCTGGCGTGTGGGCGGGCCTGTGGGCGGGTGTGTGGGCGGGAGCTGTGGCCGGTCTTTAGATTCAAAATTCAGTTTATGTGCAGCTACCCCAAAAGTAAGACCTAGCGTATTTCTGTAATATAAGACCTACCACCGAACTAGGTCTTATTTTCTTATATTACAGAAATCCCCGAAATCCCCGAAGACAGCGCTAGGTCTTACTTTCGGGGTAGGTCTTACTTTCGGGGAATCACAGTAGATAGTGGTGGACACCTATGCTAGATTTCCTCCTTTTTCAATCCCAAACATTCTATCATCACCAACAAGAGCTAAAGGCTTACAATGACACACCTATGACCCTTCAAATAGGGCTTGTGCAAGTATTTCCGAGTTCTGCACCTCTAAGTACAGTGACTACAAGTGTCAAGCATTCCCAATACACTTGATGCCCTAGCCTTACCCACATTTCCACAGATAGGGTCTATATGCTGACTTTATATGAAGTAGAACTATGAGGTGAGTAAATTACACTCATCCCCATAGTTAGGGCCAACGTGTGACATTGAAACTGTCACACGTCAGCTCTATTGATCGGGAAGTGAGCGGAAACATACAGCTGCTCCCTTACTTCACCTCTCCCCACAGTGCTGACTGGAGGGATGGATGTAGGAGGGGGCAAGCAGAACCTGCGGTCAATCAGGCAGCAGGGTGGATTTCTATAGTATTGTCCGGATCCGTCCAGGTGCGGCGCTCTTTACATATTGCGGGCAATAGCCCGCTATGTTTGGTTTTGGGTCACAGGAGGACATTTGTATATGTCCTCCCGGGACCCTAAAGAGAACTATGGGGGAAAACACTTACCCCATAATTCTCTTTTAACCATAACAATAATGCAAGCCAGTCCTAAACAAGTGGAATTCACTGCAAAACACTTCAATATAGGTGTATAAATATTGTATATTGTCAGTGGTATATCTTACAAAACCCAAAGGTCACAAGATATACATGGACTTTGCATATTTAACCCAAGTGTGTTTTTTATTGACTATCACTTGGGATAATTTTATGTGATTTATCAAATACATTTTTGTAATTTTATACAATGATCTATGTCCTCTCAATGCTACATGCACATTACCACTTATGTGTGTTTTCTGGTTAATATGATCTCGTATATGGGATGGCACTTCAGAATCTACAATAATAATAAAATAGGTGGGGTCCACTCCTCTTTTTCTTGTATTAGCTGTGCTTAAGTCACAATGGGAAGAATCTACCAATTCTCTCCCACAGCCAAGCACAAAACAACAAACAGGAACACGATTTACTGTACGAGTTTAGTTTGATCCATACATTTCTCCCTCTGCTGTTTAAACGTAGAATTGCGACAACATAAAACAGGACCCTGACCACTTCTCAATTGTGCATATGCTGTAAGTGAAAAGCTATGCAGGGATAAATATGTTGCACATCTTTTCGAAACCACCTTAGTTGGTTGCCCAGGATTGCAGATGCGTGGGTCGCCAATACTAATTGTCCGTTACGAATAAGAGACGGCCTGAATTGCGAAAATTTAAGTGGTAACTGCATGAAATCTCCCTCATTATTTGTTGGACTGCCTGTGACTGAGCAGTCAACATCTAGCGGATTCTCTACAAAATAAACTTTTATGTGGATCTTTTCAATGCTGAAATAAGTTATCGATCTGTTGACAAGAAAAATAGAATTCCCGTATATTTTAAAAATGATATGAGACGTGCAGCTGCTTTGGATTTTACGTCCTTTAGTCTGCCGCCAGGCTTGTTGATTAGTTTGCAGTGCTTTGTGTGTGAGTTTTTGCAGCCTCATTCTGGGACTTCTTTCTGAAAACTAGAGTAAGTCTCTGTTCACATTTATGTGATGTGGGAATGCGTGCGGTAATGCATGCAATCCCGCGCCGCATGTTGCAATGTTAGGTGCGCTGTGGTATCATTTCTTAGGCTAGGTTCACATCTCAGCGACACCCGGGATGCGCATCTCGGGGCCACGCAATCGTGTGCTAGTGATTTCAATGGGTACCTTTTTTGCAACACACGACGCACTGCTTTTTCAATTGCACGGGGGGAAATGCGGCAGGAAACCATGTGATCCGCCAGGCACGACTGGGGTGCCATTAGAAAATAATGGCACCCACAGCGCGAGCGGCTGCACTGGGCGACTCTGTGACCATGCGGCCATCTGCACGATTGCCATGCGGTCAGGTGTGAACCCAGCCTTAATGGCACCCCAATGCACCCAGCCATCACATATGCGTTGTATCGCACCACATTGCATGCTAGCCTTTTATCATGCGATGGGGTTAGATGTGATTGAAAAAAAATGTATGTGCACATCTTTGAATGCAAGTTAGCTGCGGTAGGCAGCCCATTCAAATGAGTGCACCCTGCCGCACCTCTAAGTCCCTGTTCACACCTGGGCGTTTTGACGCTCAAAGCTAACTGCGACAAAATTCTCAACACAAGGAATCCCATTCATTTCTATGGCCCCTGTTCACACCTGAGAGTTTTGTGTCAAGCTGTAAAACACCGAGCGCAGGAAGGTTACCACTTAGTTCTCCTTTATTTACTGCACCTAGGTGTCCTACACTTTCCAATATCCAATTGCAGCACTCTTTAGTGTGGCTTCTTTTAATTACTGTACCCCAAAACATTTAAAAAAAAGTTTATCTTTTAAAACTGCATATTAATCCGCTGAACAAAAATCCTTCAAGATTAAAGCGTTAATGAAGTCAATGGATGGTACTGCTTGATGTTTAAAAGTTTTAGTTTCCTGCAGAATTAACAGGTCAGCTGTCAGCAGTGGCCCTAATATCCCTGGTGCTAGGGTGGCTCCTTACCCTTGCAGGATCCTGTGTGAGCATCTCCACAAACACACAGGCAGATCAAAGCCAGCCACTCCCCTGCTCCCTAAATATCCCTCCTATCTTCTGCCTTCTCCAAGTTAGTAGATAGACAGCTGCTGGAGATTGCTCTGTGCCTTGTGATCTTGAACTGGACAAGAAGTTCAGAGAAGTCAAGTTGAGAGTTGGTCAGCTGTTATGAAAAATAATGAATGTGCTTAGGCAAAAAAAATGAAAGAAATACTTTGCTGGCCAATATATATTTGATCTAGATTCATTTTTGAAAAAGGTTTGAGAGTTTAATACTACTTTAACATTTCTTGTGTGAAGTTGAATAAAAACTAAGAGCCGTCATCAAGGAAAAACCCTAAAGAGCCATCTTGGGTTGCACACAGAGAGGCCAGGAAAACAGAACAGTCTTTTCTAGGAGTACAGTACAAGAACAGTCCTAGTAAAAAAATCCTTCCACTCCCATCAAGCCTCCATTTTATAGCACGCAAAAGGGAAATCATAAAGAACGGAGGAGATACAGATCATGAATTGTTCATGGAAAAAAAAAAAAAGTTTCAAGTCAAAAATTCTCTTTTCTTAAATCATATAGATGCAGATACTGGTTTTTCGGTATCAAGTATAGATGTTTCATTTTCGGTACTCGCCAATACTGAATACCAGAAGTCCCATTAAGGAAGCCAGGCGGCGTGTAATGACTAGCCAACTTCCTGATACCGGAAGTTCCTGTATCGGGAGTATTGGGCGAGTACGAGTACCCGCCCAAATACTTGGTATCGGTGCATCCCTAGTACAGGATGCCGGATCAGTTAACCACGGAATGGCCCAAAAGCAGTTCAAATAAAGGGTGGGCAGCACAGCAACTAAGCTCTAACAGGCCCAAGTAACAATGGGTCAAGGGGGCACGACAACTCAGATAATAGCTTGAAGCACTTTACTGACCTCGAAACTGGCATCAGAAGAGGCCAAAATGGGGCGGAACTACCGCCGATGCAGCCGGACCGGGGCCTGAGGCTGTGGGGGGGCCCAGTGGGGTCCGGTCCTGGGCACCCCCACAGCCCCGGTCCTACAATATGGGGCAGTGCGGGGTCCCGGGGTTAGAACACCGGGGCCCCACACTGCCGACGGGCTTCTCAGTGAGGGGGCAGGTCCTGTGACTCACCTCCCTTCCCGGTGAGTCACAGGAGACGCGTGTGTCACACGCCCCGCCCTCTGCAGTGCAGACATCGACACTCCCTGGCTGCTGAGATCCTCTGGCTGGCTGAGTCCGAGCGGCTTGTGTACTACTATTTCATGTAATTAGACAAGTGGATTATAATGGGGAATATTACACTGTAATGTTCCCTATTATAATCTATTTGTCTGATTAAATTATTACAAACAGGGCCTCTGTTCTATCAATGTTTGAGACCACGTTAGAAAGTGCAATAGAAAAACGTCACCAGCACACCGCAAGTTGAAAAAGCAAAATGTTTATTTATTGCCAATAGCTGTATCTCATTGGCAAGCGCTTTCGGGGCCACGCAGGATCCCCTTCATCAGGCTTAGAGACACGCTGGAATGTGGTCTCAAACGTAATCTTGCCCAGTTTTTCAGCGGTGGAATAGGTGAAGAATTCCAACGCTTTCTCCACTGTTCCAGGGCAGATCGGCATCGAAAAATCGCATGTGCAGGAGAACCGATTTGCCCTGGAACTGCTGATCGGTCCTGAAATGTCACTTCTATGCGAGTGAGTGCGGTGACTTCTTTGTGAGTGCGGTGGAATGTGAGATCTCATTCGGAGGTCACACCTATTGGCGGGATTACGTTAAAACCTGTGACCACGTCACACATTCTAAACGTAGTCACAACCTTTGAAAGAACACCGCCATCAGGGGGGAATGGCCGGTACCCATGTGAGGGGTCTGGGCAGCCTCTTACATGGGTATCAACTGTACTGGGAAAACATCCACCTGCTAAAGCTTAAAAGGAGAACTGAGGCGAGTGCTTTTCACTCATCCTCATAGTTGTAGCCGACCCGTGACAATGAAACTGTCACAGGTCGGCTCAATAGATCGGGAACACATACAGGCGTCCGCTCACTTCTCGATCCGATCCGGTCACGGCTCTCTGCCGTGACAGGGGAGGGACTGGACGGCTCAATAGATCGGGAACACATACTGGCGTCCGCTCACTTCTCGATCCGATCACGGCTCTCTGCCGTGACAGGGGAGGGACTGGATTCCCCCCTCCCCTGTCCGATCCTCCAGCACTGACTGGCGGAACGAACGCGCTCAGGTGGATTGAAGAAACAATCTTGGGAAGACTTTGCGTTCCCAGTCAAAGCCATCCTCTCGAGGCGTTCCTTGCATGGCAGTTCAGTAGACCAGCAATAGAGGTCAAAGGACCCTCCTTTATTTGTATTTAAAAGGAGGCTCATCACTGGAGATTTTGTGAAGCTATCAGCCAACCAGTCAGCGCAGTAGCACAGAGCCAAAGGCAGGAGCCCACTGTGCTCATGGACTGACTCATAAGACAAAATAGATACAGGGTCATGAGCCATGCTATTTGCCCAGGCAGCTAGAGTTTGGCAGATGGGCATGCTTGCAACAGCAACTTGCATGGGAAGCCCAGACAAGGAAAACAAAGGACTTCTCGCCTCTTGTTTACAGGCTTCTTGAAAACAAGGTCATCCTTAACTACATAAGGGTTTTGTTTAGGCAGGAGATAGCTGGGTCCACAGCAGGGACAGTATATTTCTTAAGGAAACCCTACTCAACCAGACATTGCTGAGCAAAGCGCTTTGGAAATCTTTACAGGTTGAGACCAGTCCTCCATACAACACAGGTTTTATGATTGAGTGTACAGGAAAGGTCTTTGCTAGTTTGGACATTTTAAAAAGGAACCCAGGCTGGAAACCATATAATGGACCAATGCAGGCTGCTCTTAGTTAAGGCATTTGTAAACCACATGAAGGATTGCAATGGTATCTTTTGGTGTTTTTGAGACATTTCAGCAAGATAGAATCTCTTTCTAATCAGATTCTTCTGAAACGGAAGAAGAATTTCCCTTCTCCACCTCCTCAGGTAAGCTGAGAGCTATAAGGGGAAAGAGACTGACTCTGGGATGGAAGCTGATGGAGCCCGCTTGCAACTTCAGCAGTCTGCAGCCTCCAAAAGGGCTGACATACTTCTCATGAAGTTAGCCTTAGTGGCTGAAAACTACTCTTTAGGCTAAATATAGGTGTGCGGCCAAGGGAACAGTTGAAGCCTCAGGCCCCATTCACACTGAGCGATTTATCGAGCGATTTTTGCAGCGATATCGGTCATATTTCCACGCGATATCGCTCTATGTAGCTTCTCCAATCCATTACAATGGAGCTGTTCACATCTCGTCGCTCAATATCGCTTGTAGCTCGTCGCTGTAGCTTGTTGCTCCTACATGACCCTTTTATTTGAGCGGTTTTGCTCCTGATTGGATACAGCCCAATAGGGACAAGTCGCTCATATAAAATCGCACGATTTTCATGTCGCTCAGTGTGAATGGGGCCTCAGAGTAAGGGAGAAACTTACACTGGGGACAGCTGTTTGCTCAGCTTCAGCCTGTGCATACGATCTGCCATGTGTGGTGAGGAATAGCTCCCAAAGAGGCACTCACAACCTTGACCACTGCAGAGAGGGAAGGGTTAGCCTTTGGTGCCAGACACTAGCAGCAATCTGATGATTGCTTGCTGTACTGTAGTAGGCAGCAGAAGTGGCCTGGCACGCGTATGTGCAGTATGATCCAAATCTTCGCAGGTGTATGGGCAGCCCCAATTGACGAGAAAAAAAAAAAAAACGACAACCAATTTTTAAAAATGGCCAGCTGACTACGGCTGTGACATTCTATGTAAATGTGTCAATCATTTCCCCGCTAATAACCCCAGAAGGGACTGAGGCATCAGCACACTGGGCCAGGGAAAGACACCCACTCACAGCAGTATATTCCCTACATAGCAGATTTCAGGACGCTAGGTCCTGGCTTTGTCCTCCCAGTGAGATTAACCCTGAAGGGGACTTACGGGACAGGGCTCCAGCAGATGAAGCCCTGTCCTTTGACCATGGCCCTGGACCCGTACAGCACAGTGCTGCTAACTTAATGTGATCCACTACGGCAGGATCGAATGCATTACAGGCTGGCCCCACATTATCTTCCAGAAGGGATCTGGGTACAGTCCCTCAAGGCTCAGCCGAGGAGTCAACCGATTAAGAAAGCTGCAGTAGTGCTACAAGAATCTAGGGAAAAATAAAAGACAAAACCACAAGATGGAGGTTAGCTTCTCCCAGTAGAGAGAAGTCCATCACTTAGGGCTAGTTCACACCATCCCGATTGTGGCCAAAACGCACTGGTTCGATAACGTGGCACACACTACTTTTTCTGACGGTACCTGACCAGAACGCAGGCACTGATGGGCCATGTGTTCCTGTGCAGCCGACCGCATTGCGGCCGAAGGGCGAGGTTGCGGTGCTATTGAGTTCACTGCACCACAACACTCCCTCCCGCCCCAAAAGAAAGTGAGTCGGCTGGAATGCAATCCAGTGCGTTCCGGCCAAAATCGGAAGATAATGTAAACTAGCCCTATAGTACACAAGCAAAAACCTGTGGCTTACTGAGAGGTGGAGTTTTTTTTTGCCAGTGTCCAATCACTTTAAAGGTGGCAGTATAACTCATGGCTAAGAATGATCTTGTGTCCTGTACTGTATATTTCAAGTAGTATTAAACTCTCAAACTATTTATCAATAATGAATCTAAATCAAACACACAAAGACCAGCAAAGTATTTCTTCATATGTTTACCCAAGCACCTACAGCCATCATATTTCCAAACAGCTGGTTCCAACTCTCTCAACTCGGCTTCTTTGAACTTCGTGTCCAGTACAAGATCACAAGGGAAAGAGCATTCTCCAGCAGCTGTCTATTTGGAAATGGGAGAAAGGAAGGAAGAGGTATATGGCTTGCTTTGCTGTGCCTGTGTGTTTGTGGAGACGCACACAGCCTAATAGCACACACAAGGGTGGCTCCTTGGGAACCTGCAAGGGAAAGGAGCCAGCGCAAAACAGAATATCAGGGCCAATGCACAGGGGACAAGCGGATTCCGCAGAAAACAAACTTAATAATCAAGAAGCAGCATCCACTGTAAATGATTTAATCAGCATTTGAAATAACTTAACATTTTGCCTTTAAATATCACTTTAAGAAAAACACATTTCCTTTACAAGTGCTTATTCACACCACATTGCACTGCAACACACGATTGTATGTGCCCAGGTGTGTTGCAGTACACTGTGTTAGGCACTGCAGCACACCAACGCACATTGAGGCATCACAGGTGGTGTACATGGGCCCTTGTACACAAAAAATGGCGACAAGCTTCCACACCTATCAGGGTTATAGAGTAAACAATGACAATATCTTCCATAATAAAAAGGTATATTTTATAGAGCCACAATTTTTTACTTGCTATAAATAGGCAGAACTGTTACAGAAACTCCTGTGTGAGGCATCCTGGCCCAGAGAAACCTAAAAGGTTAGTAGTTACCTCTATGCATGACACGGCGGGAATGCATATGTTCCAAGGCACTGCACAGCTGCACAAAATACTTCCAAACTGTCCTCTCAGGGATCAGCCGCTTCTGTTTCTTAAAATGCTAAAAGTGTGTAAACAAAAAAAGGCACAGACATGTTAGGGACTGTAAAATGATAATACTTGAAGAACTCTTAAATTAAACTACATATAAAAGTAAAAAATACATTTGTGAACTATTTTAGCACCAAATGAGTTTTACTATACAGTAGATTGACTTTTTTTTTTTGGCTTCACACATCTCTGCTGCATTGCAGAGCAAAGATGAACTTCCTGATTCAGCTTTACAAATTTTTGTGCCATTTTTCTGCTCAATGAACATTATATTAGCAAAGTTATGAAGATGATTCCTTGTCCAGTGAACAGGTTGGGGAAGGAGAGGTGGAATAGTAAACTGTAAAACTAAGCCAACAAATAGGAATCATGTCTTACCGTTCCTGTGTAATAGATGCATACAGAACACATAATTTTATGTACATTAACTACATATTTAGCATTCAACCTAAAGTACCATTTTATCAGCATGTCATTGCATAATATGGCAAAAAACAAACATTGATATTGTTGAAAATGCCAAATGTGTGCCATATTAGAGAGAAGCAAATATGCAAATTCTTGCAAGTAAGCATTTGTGTCTGCTGCAATCAGACAACTGGCACATCATATACATTTCCAGATAAGGGGGAAAAAAAAAGAATTATATATATATATATTAGGGCTGCAACAACTAATCGACATAATCGATTATAATCGATTATTGAAAAAGTTGTCCACTTTTTCAATCATCGATTAATCGGCTTCCGATTGGTTGGCCCTGTTCACGGCTCCACGCTGCGCGCCACACTTCCTCCCCACCTCACGCTCGCTGCTGCCAGACCTGCCCGCATCCACATGCTGCACCTCCTCACGCTCACCGCCCGCCCACATCCACGATCGACACAGGGACGCGGGGAGAAGAAGTAATATCGCTAAACAATACAACAAATTACTATTGTTGGTACATTTAAAAAAAGTTAATTTTAAGACATTTATCCAGCCCATAGCTTCAGTATTACTGGCAAGCCAGGCAACTAATTAGGCAGAAGAGTTACATAGGATAAGTCATTATTTCTGTTGTCGATACAAGTTACTGCAGTTCTTGTAGCTTAAACGTGAGATATGAGATATACATCTAGATAGATATACATATACACACACATATATACACACACACTAGATATTATTGCCTATTTAAGGCCCACTTTAAACACACTGGAAACAGTTCACGAACGACAGCACATGCGTTATCCTAATTCCCATGTGTCATTTGCCATTTCTCAAAAATAAAGTTGTTAATTCACTGAAAGTTTCATCACATGCATGCTACATTTTCAAGCGTTGTGGTATATTACATGTAAAACCTAGCCACGACCAACAGACAAACCTCCAACACTTGCAGGTAGTGTCAAACCTTGCCCAGCCTATCCTGCCATATGAACATTCCTGTAGGCCAGCGAGGCAGTTTAACATTGTAATGGCCCAACAGGAATGTGTGGAAGGTATGTGGGAGCAGGCAAAGCTTGAATATGACATGAAATGTTGGCACTTTATTCAATCAGAACAGCCTTGGATTCGGTTATAGCAGCAGATGACTGCAGGCTGCTGAAGATATATGTGGGCATCTCTAGGTGCCTGCACTAAAAAGCAGCTTTAACAGTGATGGTCTATGTTATGAGGGGTCTGTTGAAGAAAGCAGAAAAAAGGACAAAACACCACTTCATGAGATAAAATACTGAGAAATAAAAGTTTTCATATTTTGGTATGTAAACTGAATGTTTTGATTAGAAAATGATCATGCAATAAAACACCTACACAGTTAATAACTCATGTTGCTTAGTCAATAGATCCTATTGTGAAGGAGCCCCTTTCAACAGACAAATGAAAATATGCATGTCCATAGACCAAAAAAGCACATCTGTTGTGAACAAAGCCCATTAACTTGACTTTTAAAAAGATTGCATTTTCCTGTCCTAAACATTTCTGGTGTAAACAAGTTTTAAGCAGAGTGATAAAGGTAACTACAGATGTGCTAAGTGCATGTAACAATGTTATGTCTCACATATGGGAAACATACACCAAAAGAAAAACTAACTTGAAAACACTGTATCCTAGGCAAATATTAAAAATTATACAGAATAATAAACTTAGTCAATTCATCATAGTCCTGAAACCTGCCTGATTTTCCTAACCAGATTTACACATCAGAGAATGTTTGATGTCAATGAAATGGAGATCAGCTTGTTAACATATGAAGACATAATTTTGCTTCATTTCACAATCAGCTTGTTTCCCAAACCAACACATCGGAAAAGGTTCCCAGTTTAAAAGGAACCTGTAATAATGTTTATCTGGCACAGCCGAGGTTCCTAAACATGCCATTTTCAGTACATGCCTTTCTCCGAACCAGAAATGCAAGTCTCCGGTGTGCCAAGCGAAAGACATAACAGGTTCCTTTTAAAAGTAATTCATATCAATGGAGTATCCCCCCCAATATCCCCAAATCAACCAATGCAAAATCTCTGCTGCCGGCTATTGTATTCAGTAAGCCGACACTTGCTGCTGTCTAAATACCCAAACAATGACTGCACCTGTTTGGATGCAGTCACTGTTCAGCTAACATTGTATCACCCTGCTTCTTTGATTTTTAAAAATAAAGTTTGTCCAGCCATGTGGTGTCGGCAAGGCCACCCACTGCTCAAATGTTGCACTGGTTTTAGCTGGATAGTCTGTCTTATGCCGAATGGATGAGTAATGGAGCACATTTCACTTGTACTTATTCTCAAGGGAAGCAATGAGCAGAAAACAATATTCTGGGTAAGGGGGAAAAAAAAAAGTCTGTTAGATAGTTGTAGTGGAAGCAATTGGTCTGGAAAAAATGTTACTCACTCTGTTGTCAAAAGTCGGCACCTATAGAAGATGTCTATGGACCAACAGAAGGGAAGTAAATTTATTGTGCTAATGAAAATAGGTTTAAAGCTAATGAATAAAAACGTATATGTGGCAGTAGATCAGCCATCAAGCTATTCCAATGTTTACCCAGTATTCCACGCATGTCGTTGTGGTTCTTATTGTATTGGGTTATAAATGCCACAAGTTTGATTCTTTTCCTCGCCATTGTTCTCACTGCCATTTGACTCCAGTGCCCTTAACATTCTCGATCCTGCTGGTATCTCAAGTACTATGGTTACTTGGGATTTACTTTATTACACTGTTCTAGTTCCACAATTACTGTTAACACACGGTTTTCTTTTGAACATAAACAGACAGAGCTGTGAATTTACAGTTATCCAGTGTGGTGCAAATATGTATAGATAAGCACTTACAAGATAAGCACTTATCTTGTGATCACCTGTCTTTTTATAGTAAATTATGAATTATTTCCCAAGTACAAGACACTTTGTCCCATGTATGTTCATATGTTCTATAGATTTCCCTGTCTTGGAAGTGAGCAGTCTAGTCTCAGTAAGACTCTGCTATATTTTCAATATACTGTGGTGGTGAGTGAGAAGACTCAGTTGTGGACTGATAGTGCCAGAAGTGTGTTGGTCGATTCCCTTCTAATAATTATCCAATCCTTTTCTGCTGCCTCTATCTACTCTGATATTGCCGGACATCTCTCCTTCCTAATTTCTATTCAACCACAATATCATCAACATCTGCAGTTCAGTACTAATCTGAACTCCGTATCCAAGGTACAAATCATTTCTACATCTACCATACAGAATGCTATTTTGGGACTAAGTGTACAGTTCTGCTACTAGGCTTATGACTATTACCCTCAACACTTAGACTTTATATATGAATATTTTTTATTACCAATATTTATTACCATATTTATTTTACATTGTTACAGTTTTATCTCCACATGTTATATAAATATGTAATCTTGTCTGAACCATTATTGTATTACTTTTTATCATAAAAAAATTTTAGACATCAAGTTTTGTTTCTTTTAATATTTTGATTCTCTACCTTAATGAAGGGAGGAGTCTTGAGTTTGTAAAACAAGTTGGCTTTCCACTTGTGTATTTTGTGTATTTTGTTAAGTAAACAGTTTTTTTTTTATTACAAGTATTCCTATTTTATTCGGTTGTTGCTATTGTCTATTTTTGGAATATATTTTTCTGTTAAAAAGGAGAACTATGGGGTCAGTGTTTTTCCCCATAGTTCTCCTTAGGGTAACGGGAGGACACAAAGTAGCGTCCTCCCGTTACCCTAAGCTCAGTATACCGCGAGACATTTTTTTTTTAATTATTATTAGACAGCCCCGATGCTGGCGATGTACACTGTACGTCGTCAGTCACGAAGGGGTTAATTAGGGATGCACCGATACTTTTCAGATACAGTGCCGATACTTGGCACTTTCATGAGAACTACCAGCATTGCAGCGATTGGAGCTGGGACTTGGCTCTGGTGCTCCACCACTGTCCTGAAATCATTAGTCTGTATTGCTTTATGAAAAACTGTCACATACATAACAAAAATGTTATCTGTAAGTACTTGGGCAAGTATCAGTACTTGCAAAAATGGTATCGGTGCATCCCTTTATATCTATAAAAACAAAATCATACATTAAAACAGAGATGTACAAATCCCTCTGTTTGCTCCTTACAAATGACAGCTACCTCCTATTTTTTATTAATTTTTCTCTAGGTCTAGTCTTGGAGCTCGAAAAGTATCTGTACTTGGTATCGGCGCATCCCTACTGTTAATATTTTCTTGCATTAAAACAATATTTAAAAATCATTAAGCTGACTCTCGAAATGTTTTAAAGACCTTTGTAGAACACTGCCTTATTTTAAACTATATTCCTGTCTGTAGTGACATCGAGTGTCACAGACATTTCTTAAGGACAGAATTGTCATAGCAAGTTCTGTGAACGATGTGCGTTTTCCTTAAAACACAGGGTGCCAGCTATTGTTTGTATGGATAAAGGGTTTACTGACTCTAGTGATGATCACTCTCAGTCTGCTGGCACTTAGATTGTTGTCCCATGAGATGTAAAATCTCTGTTCTGGGTGCCGGAGAGTGCCGTCATCACATGGAAGACTCAAGCAGGGAAGAACTGATACAAGCCGTGTGCGCTCGCGCTCCTTTGGGAGGAACACTGCAGGCTGCCCCAGAGCTGCTAGAGAATTGTGAGCTGGCAAGGCCAATGGGACCTCTGCCCATGCACTTAGGATCTGACATACTGTAGTATAACTAAGGCAAATGAATACACACCAGAAGCTACTAGGGTATCCACAAACAAATGCAGACGCAAGAGAGGTCTTATAGCTGGAGGTGACTGTCTGTTAGGCAACAGTAAGGACAAACCAAGTTAAACTGATGACATTTGCAAGGAGAGCAGTGGCAGGAAATTGCCTCATGCTAAAAAAGCAGAAGCAGTCTGAATGCAAACATGACACGTTCTCCCCACGTTTCTCTTAAGGGTCACAGGAGGACATATACTAACCGCCTCCCGTGACCCAAAGCTCAGTATATTGCGAGCTACAGCTCTGTCGAGATCCACCCAGCTGCGCGAGTGACAGCTGGCTCTCCCTATCTAGAGGCAGAGTGAGCTGTGCCCCCCCTCCCGTTCCTCCTCTCAGCGCTGGAGGATCAGAGAGGGGAGGGGGGAATCCCTGCAGGGAGCAGTGACTGACAGTCACGGCTCTCTGCAGGTAGATGATCAAGGAGTGAGTGGCGGTATGAATGAAATGAGTGTCACACGATGACTCAATCGATCGGGAAGTGAACACATACCGTCACTCGCTCACTTCTCGCTCGAACTATGAGGATGAGGGATTTTCACTCACCTCATAGGTCTACTTTAATTCTCAAAGTGTTAATCCTTACAGGGAAATAATGGGAGAAAACAGTGACAATTATGCAATGCTCAAACAAGGAAAGTCCCAGACTTACCACAGTCGCAGGCCTGGAGAGCATTCCATGGGTAACAAGCATAGTAACTAAGTACAGGAAAGTGCCACATGCAGAACCCAGTAAACATGTAACATTCCAGGCATTTTTCGTTTCTCCCGTGGGCATGCACCCAAGGGAGTGTTTAAGGATTAGGATCACACCAGAGGCTAGGTGTCTGTTAAGTGCCACAAGCAGACCCCAATGCCCAAAAGTAAGATTACAGGATAGACCTGTACCTTGATTGTAGTCTGTCAGGTATGGCCTCCAAAGTGGTACCAAGATTTAGCCAATCCTAAAAGCTGCAAAGAAAGTCACAGCAAAATAAAAAATCTTGAAGTAAAAATGTCTAGAATAAAACGTGTAAACTTTTCTCCAAAGAGAAAAGATGTTTATCCTCCTAGGACCCTAGCAACAAACTAAATCATCATAGGACTGGGATGGGCTATACTTGACGGGCCAATCGGGAAGCCGGGCGGTGGTTTATGACCCGTCACCCGGTGTCCTTACTGCCTGGGAAGCCGATGTTCTATCGATAGAACACTGGCTTCACTTCACAGAGCTGCCTGGCTCCCTGACTAATCAGGAAGCGGGTCATGAGGTGCCATCCGGTTTAGGACGAGGTCCCCGGCTTCCTGATTGGTTAGGAAGCCAGGCTGCCTAGCCTCAAGTGAAGCCGACTTCCTAGCGAATCAGGAAGCCGGGAGGAGGGTCATAAACCCCCGCCTGGCTTCCGATTGGCAAGGAAGCTGGCTCCATGCTCCCGCGGCACCGCCGGTCAGAAGGAGGTTGCGGTATCGGAGGTAAGTATCAAAGCATTTGGACAAGTACGAGTATCTGTGCATCCCTACTCCATGTACAGCTGATTATTACCAAAAATATATGTCTGATGGATAACCATCGCTGGTATGTGTGGGGGGGTATTCTCCAATCACACAGATTTCTGATAGTAGCATTAGCTAGCTCAACATTTGGCTTAATTATCTTGACAAGTAGAAAGCTATGGTAGGTATGTATATGCTTCTGCCAACCAACAGGCTATGAAAGTGAATGACAAACCGTAAACCAAACCATGGATTAAATAAAAAGCACTGGCTACCAACTATGCACCCAACAATGAAAATTTTTGTATTCAAGGCTTTTATACCAGATAAAATTAAATGGGCAGTATAGCAAACATAACAGTTATTAAAAAGAAAAAAAAAACCTAGGTCAAAAAAGAAAACTGGCACAATTTACAAAGCTTTTTTACACACACCTTTATGCTAATAAGCAACCTAGCGTTATACTATTGTCTATAGGAGACATGAACACTAGGCACAGAAAACTGAAGACCAGCCCCCAAAAAAGCAATAGCCCCTACCACCTGCTCAGTTGTTGCAAGCAGTCCAAAGAGAGAACGATAGCATATGATGGTAAGGAGCGGTGTCCCTCAATGGAATACAAAAATCCTATCTTCTCTAGTATTCACTGAGGGACAGAGCTTGATGACAATCAACAAACTAGATATGTTCAAAAGAAGTTCAAACTGAGAGGCAGAGGTACTAAAAACCAACAAAGGAAAAAACAACCAAAAGAGAAAAAAAGGGGGGGAAAGAGGGCATTAACCACCCCCTCGCAAAACCTTTGACCAAAATTACCACAGATAGCACACAGCACACTCCGCCGATCGGTACAAGCGATCCGGCGGCTGTACAGACACCAGATTGCTTGTATCTAAACAGAGATCGCCTCCTGTTTACAATTGGACCAAGAAGACGACTGCAGCAGCAGCTATGTTCTTGGTGAAACCACTGCAGCAGCTGGCCGTATTTGTATGGACGTCCGCAAGAAGTGATTAAAACGCACATATTAGATCTGAAGTTTAGTTAAAGCAAGAAACCGTGGAGAATAAAATGGTGGCAGTTGACATGTTTTATGTCACACGATATTTGCGTAACTGTTTATTAAACCCAATGTTGAGTAAAACAAAATACATTTAAATTAATTTTAGTATACACAAAACACAATACCCAATTTTGGTAAAATATAAAAAAAAGATGAGGTTGCATCAAGTATATAGATACCAAATATGTCAAGCCTTAAAACTGCACGTGAACCAGCAACAAACTTCAGTACCCAAAATTTTCCATAAGCAACATCAGTGGAAGAAAAGCCAAAACATTTTAGTTTTGGATAGTGTATGGAGGGTTATAACTGGTCAGCTTTTTTTTTTTTAAACAGCACAATATGTAAAATAAAGAAGTGGGTTCCCCCATGTGGTCAGCTCGTTAACTTTACACAAAGCACAGACCAACATTTAAAAGAAAAAACAGGAGGGCTTCCCTATGTGACCAGTTTGCATAATGTATAAGTCAAACTCAGCAGTCAAAAATCCTAATATTTCTCCTGCAGGAGGTAGTATAACCTTAGATTGCTTATTTTTATCATCAAGCTGTATCCCTTAAAGAACAATAGAGAAATATATATTGCTTATCCTTGTACACTCTCTCTGTGAAATTAGCCTAAATTGGCAATTTCTTTAAATAATAAACATTAAGCAGAATACCTGCACCACCCACCTCAGTACAGTCACTGTGTATGTGAAAGAGTCTTCACAAGTCATTGCTCACATACCTTTATCATCCTAGATAAATCCCCAGCATCTGCCAGTTCCAGAACTATATTCAGTTCATTGTCCTCAATGAAGGAAGCATAATATTTAATGACATTTGGATGGTTCAGTTGCTGAAAATGAAGAAAAGATACTCACAAAATTAACATACAGCTGCAAAACTGTGTAAACACTCAGTCAATAAAAAAATGCGATAGGAATACTTAATTTAGAAACGTAAGTACATGTAAATAACGACCAACTGTACATCGCCAACATGCCACATTTCATTCAAGACTTGTTTACCCAGGGTCACTTTGCTCACTGTACCTATATAGCCTTAACGCTATATTTTTCAGCCAGAATTGGTCTTTCATTTATAAATTTAAAACTAATGTATTCTGATCAAGTGAAATTGGATAAGCATATATTAGACTCTTCCTCAGATTGTATTTTACAAGCAATTGTTTTTTCAGTCCTTTAACCGACGGCTTTATGTTATAAAATGATAAAACATCTAGTTCAATTTTCTTCAGCTAATCAGCAAAGCATAGCACCTCGTTTCCTATAATGTGAACAATAAGTACAGATTTTCTTATGTTTTTCTTAAATTGTTTCTTGATTGTTAAATACAAAACTACACTAAATAATCATACTTTATAGACGCCTATGGATTTATTGCTGATAACACTTATACACTGCAGAGTGGCAGCTTATACTCCAAACTTCTGGGCCTTGCTTCAGTGGAGGGAATGAAATTGCCCTAATAAGCGCCAACTATGGAAAAAGCTACAGACCTTGTTAAACTGTATTTTCTGCATAACCGAGTCTTTACTGATTATGAATGATTTCATACCTAAATAAAATGGAGTCTTATAATATGACATATCTTTCTAATGCTTGACTTTTTGGATGGAAGATTATTTTTGTTTTGGCTTATATTGCTGCATACTTGGACCTTGGCTGAAGTACACAGCATGACTACATGAGACAGTTCTTGTCCATATTTAAAAATACAGCTGTTAACTATAATGCCCATCTTTTCTAGTCGTTTTCACCACCCAAGTTCATCTACTGGATTCGCTCAATTTACAAGCGTCATCAGGGAACACAGAATTGGGAAATTAGAGGATTTCCTTTTCCAGTAAAATGATAAGGTAATGTGAGGTATAGTAATGTAAGGCACAGTGAATGATGCCATTATTTTAATTTTTTGCAAGATGCTTTGTTAGATTTGTACTTGGGATTTTGAAATCAAAGACTTAAGAGGAATGTAGGGGATTGGCTTTGAATACAACATTCTATTCAATTAGGTAATCTGGGATCACCACCTCTCAGGTAGAGTGCATCAGAGAAGATTAACTGAAAAATGTTATGCATTTCAAAAACGTGTAAAATGCTACCAACTGATTACTTGCCGACTACTTTCATCGTCATAAAAAACTTGTCAGATCAGTTAAATCGTTTTATACAATTCTATGGTAGCCTGTTAAAAATTATCAATATAAAGAAGTTTAACAAAAAGCAGAAAGCATTGCCCTTTTAAAAGAAAACTCCTGCGCAATCTCATCTTGGTAACAACAAAAAAGTTTGAGGGCAACATATAATCCCACTGTGCATGTTGTAAAGGGAGAGCAAAGTGAACTTTAATGCAGTTTTATCTTAAGATGTAAACATCTTTCCTCTCTTATTTAAAGATGCCAAGTTCATAGGAGATGTGAAGAATAAGCGGTTCAAAGCCTTCGTGTGGCACATTGGAAAAACGGGCTCAGCTAGACGAAGGAAAAAGCAAAATCATCAAAGCATCAGATTTCACAAAAAGCGCATTCTACAAACAATCTTAGGGGTGCTTCAAAAAGTGTTTACCTTAAGGAGGTCAATCTCTTTGATACAGTCAGCTCTTGCCTTGGCATCCATCAAATCAAAAATCTGCAAGGGATTAAATAAAGATGAACAAGATTTTATTTACAAAGATGTTGTTAATAAGGAAGTACAACAACTGCAGCACTTGAATTACCTGTATGGCCAATAGTCATGTGACTAGTTTAAGAGTTCAGCAACTATAAAACGCCAAAGAAAACTAAATATAAATTCCATTTCTGTATTTCACAATAAGGTAGCATGCTTTGAGGATTAAAAGTTAAAATAAATGTTAACACATGAACAGCGTCTCATTTTGAGCAGGGTATTCATGTGGTTTATTCTGCCTAATCCCTTTCTCTGAAGACAACATGTGGTAAAACTCAGATTCTGGCTTTCTGCATTTAATATTCTACAAATTTGAGTTGGCTACATGAAAATGACCACAGTAGGCTTTTCAAGGAGATAAAGCTTGTGAGCTGCCCTTAGGGAAACTTACCATCGCATCTTTTCTTTACAGTGATAGCTCCCTTCTAGCAGGATGCATTATGAAATCAGAGGGCACACAGTCACTTGTCACTGCAGCCACTCACATTGCGATCTTGCTGGAACCTCTGCTTTATTTATTTATTACAGGTATTTATATAGCGTCGACAATTTATGCAGCACAAGCACAGGGAGAACATGCAAACTAACTTGCAGATAGTGACCTGGCCAGGATTCTAACCTGGGACCCCCAGTGGTGCAAGGCAGAAGCGCTAACCACTACGCCAATGTGCTGCCTTGAAATAGTTTGTTTTGAAGAAACCAGTGGTTAAAACAGACCTAACTAAATAACGTCTCAACCTCCACTGATTTTGTACAATCTAGCTTTTGGCTTGAATTCCTCCAGAGACTATGCCTAGGCACTGCTCTTCTTCTAACCTCATAATTAGCACCTGCGTGTGAAATCATCTAAGTCCCACCCATTCTAGACTCTATTAGGGGATTTGAAGTAAAATTTGGTGATGTCCCTCCTGTGCTGCTCACTGTTCTTCTGAGGGACTGTTGTGGTCATATGTCATTAGAATTTCGATCATCCGAAACTCTTAGAGTGTGTGCTGGCTCGACAAAAGTCGTTTACTCAATTGACTTTTGCCAAAGGAGCCAGGCCGAAAATTGTGAGCTGCAGTCACTGTTTGGGTATTCTAACAGCTGTGGGATATTGCTCCAACCACACTGTTTAATGTGAATAGAGATATCTGTAAAGGCATCTTACAATTATCATTTGATAATCGTCCGCGATCGCGTTTTTTCGTAGATATTCGGCCAGTTGATGGGACGTGCACGATCGCAATTGCTGTACAACTGGCCGAATTTGGTTGAATGGGCAGAATAGAAAACTTTCGTCTAAACGGATGAAAAACGATGGATTAGTGGCATTTTCGTACAACAAAAATTGCAACATAAACACTGCACATGCGCAAACGAAAATCCGTTCTGTCGATTGACAAAAATAGAACAGTTAACACTGCTAATGAACGATAAATCGAAATCTACATTGGTTTGTGCATGATGGGCTATTTGAATGAAACTCGAACGAGGGCGCGATGCTGGAACAAAAATAAATTGAATGATGGTTGTAAGGTGTTTATTCAGCCAATGTGCTGCATTAAAAAACAAACAAAAAAACGACTCGTGTAGGGCCAACTTCAACAGTGAGTGCCTGAGGACTTACAATGCTGAAGCTAAATACTTTCTACACTACTGATGTGTTTTGATAATTACTCTGCTAATTAGCCTACAAATGTCAGGTGGTCATAATAATCTGGCCACATATATAGATCTATATAGTTAGATAGATATAGATAGGATAGATATAGATATATCTATATACAACGCACATTCCAGGTCAGGTCACCACAACGCACATTCCAGGTCAGAATTTTTCAGTGTATGTATGTATGTACGTATGTATGTATGTATGTATGTACGTATATATATATACATACATACATACACTGTATATAGTGGCAAGTGTCATTTTTGGTTTCGGCCTGAAAAATTCTGAGCTGGAATGTGCGTTGTGGTGACAATTTCAGTGGCATCCCAAATAAATATCGGCCAACTAATTGATTATGAAAATAATTGTTGGTTGCAGCCCTAGCTGAATATTATTCATTTTCCTTCAGTTCTCCTATTTTTGGGCACGTCTTCAGCACAATAGGTTCTCCGTAAACAGTTAAGCCAGCCCCAAACTTACTACCCACCATTTTAGACTTCATTAACTTCCTCTCTGACTAAACCCACATTCAGGTCAATGGGGAATCTAAGACAAGGAGCCTGCTAAAATAATGATCAGGAAGAAGGGCAAGGAGTTGGGTAAAAAACAAAACACTAGATTCATGACACCACACATTTCAGTGCAAAATGTGATGAAGGAAAAGCTGTGGCTAGGACTTTCCTAATAGCACAACAGTCTCAAAAGTGATGAATATTCATCACATAGCAAAAAAAAAAAAAAATTGTAAAATTGAAGGTTACTGCTAAGTAATTGTTTGCATAACATTTTTTAGCAGTCAGGAATCCTAAATTTTCACAAAGCCATTATAGCACTTGAACTGTGCACCAAAGATCCTGCATGCAGGGCCAGATCTCCATCACAGGAGCCAGCAGGTGTACAATCTTAACAGTCTAATGCAAAATCTGAAACTGACTCCATGCAATAAATATTTTCCCATTTCACAGTATCATACACATAGTGGTGTAAACCCCAACACTGGCCATGATGTGCTGTTCTTGTGACTTGTTTTACTCTTATTTGCATTATCAATGGATCAAGGGATTATTAATTGGATTAAACACCATGTTTTTTTTAATTTCTTTGGAAAAACCAGTCCCGCAATCTTAAGGGTAGACATAAGAAATATAGGTACTACATTGCTGAATCAGCCATCGTATATATCCAGACTGACTTACTTATACAGTACATTTGTGAATGGTTATCACGTAAAAAATCACTTATTAAAAAAGATGTTCATTCCAGATTAGAGGAAGGTGGAAGGACCTCCAGCAGGCTTTTCACATGCACCATCTGCCCTTGTGGTTGATCGTTTCACAAATTCAGAGCTGTCCTGTGTACACTTCCAGTGTTATCACCTTAGACTACCAAACACATACTCCAAGGGTTGACACCATTTCTTGTGGTTTCAGGCCACAAAATACGGTGTGTTGTCACCTTACAATAGGAAATTAGGAGCGGAGGGCATTTCACCACTCTGACTGCCATTAGGCGGTCCCTTAAGACTCATCTTTTCAGGGAAGCCTATCCCACCTCGACCTAACCACTGAACTATCACTTTCTAAAACAATTCATCCCCACACAACGACCTCCTCATTTATCACTTGCCCCTCCCTTTTAGATTGTAAGCCCTCAAGGGCAGGGCCCTCCTTACCATCTTGCCTTGAATTGTATTGTGATTGTTATGTCTTCCTTATATTGTAAAGCGCTGCGCAAACTGTTCGCGCTATATAAATCCTGAATAATAATAATCCCAAACAATTACATTTCTAACGATTTTTCATATTTGAAAGCTCAACAGTTTTCTGGCTTTGATTCTTTTTTTTTCCTTCAATTAGCCAAGTGCTTTGAAAATGTTTTCCCTCAACCTTGTAAATGTCTGCAAGGGTCTTCAAGTTGAAAAGTAATAAAGGGGCAACCGCAGAGTAACAAAAATCAGGGTGTGCTTTAAAATACAAAAACTAAACTTACCTGAACTTTTTTTAAAGCAACAGGCACTCTATCCAAAAGACATCTGGCTCTGTATACTTCACTGAACTGGCCCCTGCCAATTTTCTTCTCAATTTGGAAATTGGCCAGCGTATTATACCCCATGTCTGGTCGGAGTGGCTTCTAAATACAAGAAAAATTTAAAAGTTAGGAACAAATTTGGGCAAATAAAATAAGAGCGAATAAGTAATCAGACACACTTTTGCTGTACCTTATTTCATTATATGAATCTACGGTGGAAAGGCAAATACAAATAGAGATTTAAAGTTTAAAATCCTCCTCAGCAAAGCAATAAATATGCAAATGAGTGATGGTGATTGCAAAAGAAAAATAGCAAATTGATTAACTTGATTCACCTTTTCCCACCAAATCAGCAGTTAAATATGTTAACAAAACCTGGATTTCCCACTGAAATATGGGAATTTCAGCTGTGCAGCACACAGGGCTTAATCCAATGAATGCCTTTTACAACGACAGTGGGCATTCAAGTTGCAAACCAGTCATTTACTGCGTTATAAATTAAATTTATCCATTTCAAAAAGTCAAGATTGTTGATCCATCGACTATGAAAATCAATGCATAGCAGTTGTCCAAAAAAATCTGACACTGTACCCCAGAAAATCTAATTATGCAATGGTTAAAAAAAGGTAAATGCCCTTAAAATGTCAAGTTCCAGTGACTGGAACAGACGAACCGTCTCAGGAATAAAGTATAATTTATACCGGTCAGTAAACATTATATTGTATTTTACTAACCAAAAACAAAGATCAAGGGTAAGATATGAAGTATCTGGTCAAGAGGATTTTACATTCAGATGAAGTGGCAGAACAGACAACAATCTCAGCCAGAGTTTTTGCCTGCACCAGACACGTGACACAAACAATCAAATTGCAGTTACGGACAGGAAGAAGAGAACCAATATCAGCTAGTGGTAGTCCATTCAGCTAAACCTGGATCCGTGTAGTGGTTGACAGTAAGCCATGGGAACAAAAGATGGATCATTAGCATATATAATTTAGAGAATTATGGGGAGAGTGAAATACATTCATGCCCATAATTAGAGAGCCGACGTGTGACACTGAAGCGGTCAAACGTCAGCGCTATTGATGGAGAACCGATGATCACATACCGCAGAAAGCTCAGTTCTCCATTCATTTCCCTGTAGAAAGCAGTGACTGTCAGTCACCAGTCACCGCAGGGATTCCCCCCTCTCCTCTCTGTTCCTCCAGCGCTGACTGGAGGGATGGACTGGGGAGGGGGCAGGCACATCACTCTGACAGCTGGCTCTGCCACTCTAATCAGTTGGGGCATGGTGGATAGCGACAGTATTGTCGGGATCTTTCCTGGCCACAGTGTGGCTTTGTGCTGTCAGCACATATCGGGCAATAGCCCGCTATATGCCGAGTTTTGGGTCACAGGAGGACATTAGTATATGTCCTCTTGTGACCCTAAAGAGAAGTATGGCAAAAAAAAAAAAAAGGTCAAAACGTTATACTACACACGCAAGCAGCAAGCAACAAGCGGACTGTAATACCACCCCCCAGGGGTGAACAAGGTCCTTGGACCACAGCTGTGGAAATGGCTTTAGAACGGGTATCAGATCGCAGCTCTACCTCCGATGCCCAAGGTTTTGATAAGGCCTGGAGAGAGCTGCTTCACATCATACCCCGTTTAGCACAAAGACTGCGTTCACCGTTAAGGTAGGTCTTCCGGGTGAAGCAGGAGGTTATGTTATGGTTTAGACTAGCAACTATTTTGAGGCCACGGATATATGATATCCCCCTGTGACACGGAAGACAGATTTATGTAGGCATATATCTATGATTTAGTATAAACGGTTACCAAGCATACAGGTGATTAGGCATTCGGTTCTGAGATAGGTTCATTTGCATTACACAGACAGTTGAGTAGGCATATAGAAATGCTATAGGTTAGGTTGTAATACAGCAGACAGTTGAGTAGGCATATAGAAATGCTATAGGTTAGGTTGTAATACAGCAGACAGTTGAGTAGGCATATAATAATGCTATAGGTTAGGTTGTAATACAGCAGACAGTTGAGTAGGCATATAATAATGCTATAGGTTAGGTTGTAATACAGCAGACAGTTGAGTAAGCATATAGCATAGGAAGTGCTGTGGATCTCCTTACCATAGCCCTATGGCTATGGTAGCAATACTTGCTGTTTGAGGCTCTGTATAGTGTGGAGGGATCTCAGCAATTTCTCCTTTAGCAGGTGGTTCCTGGAGTAGCAGGGCTGTCGGTTTGATCAGCGTCCTGCTTCAATAATAGTGGGACGCCGATCAAACGGCGGACCGCGGCTTTATGCCGACTACTCGAGTGAGTGGGCGGAGTCTTGCGGCACGCCTGCGCATTGTCACCGACGGACCCAGTGCGTGAGTGGGAGGAGTCTCGCGGTGCGCCTGCGCAGTTGCGCACACGGCTCGTCCCGTTGGCCGAGGGGCGATGCGAGTATCACACGGACAGGGGGCAGCAGTGTTAGCAGGAAGATCTACTAAGCCCTCGAGCAGATACACGAGTGTACACCACTATTGCATGACTGTTCAATTCTTTCTCCGTCATATATTTTACAGATAATACGGTACCACCAAGGTAAAAAGCCACATGGATTATGGCTTAGGGGGATTTTTAGTTTAACTACAAGTTGTCCTTTAAGTCTAGAATGATGTAACATTCACTTGCCTGAATACAAACATAAGCTGTTTTTACCAGTCTTCTAGGGAAAAATCTGTGTGCGTCAGTGAGCCTTGACAGATTATGGTTATGACCTCATCAAGAGTATTCTCTTCTTCAGAAGCAAAATAAAGTAGTCACTTTTTTATGTGTGCTTTACAGATTATCGTTTTGCAGGGATTAGGTAGTATATGTGACATTCAGGAGTCTAAAAATCTATAACCTTCATGTCTGACCCAGAAAATCCCGAATGTATTTATCTGGAAGCACCATCTCTGAACTCCTCTTGACAAATGTTGCATAGGACACACAACTGACAACATTTATAAACCTCAAACAGTTACCCTAAAATAATAGAAAACTGGGTAAAGGGTATTATCAATTATAACAGAGTATGACTGTGGCACTTAAAAAAATCATTTAATTTAAAAGTTTATAAAAAAAGGTATTGTTTACTGCTAGTGATAAAATACAAACACTTACAGTAAATCTGCCATACAACTACAGACATATGCAGGAAATTAATAAAAATGTTATTAGACAATTCATAGCGCTTTCCCCCACTTTGAGAACGCATTTGAACTTGACAAAGATTAGCGTGAGTCTCTAAGACACAGTGACAGCCGCATGCTGAGTCCAAACTCTGGCTAATATGTTTTGGCATGCGAGTTTGTAATCACACATTTACATATGCAATGACCTATATTTGCATGTCAGATCACACACTGTCTGGCTTGGTTAGGGCCAGGCGCCTCCCTGAGAGAGAAGACCAGAGTGGCTGTCCAAGGCCAGAGGGCCACGGGTTTGCTCTGTGAGATGGGGTAAATCTGCCTCTGTTGATTAGGCTGACGAGCCCTGAGCATTAGACACTTCATTAGAGGTAATCTGTTTAACAGTGGGCAGTGCATACAAACTTCACAGCCCAATTTTAGTGAATGTTCCCATCCGCTGCCTCCCCCACATTTCTTCCTTACAAAGGCCAGAAGGGTCACTGAATAACAGTCTTGTCACATCTGCACTGTCACAAGAATTGTAGAGTCAGATAGTTCTATACGGATGAATGTCTCATCTTGTAGTTGAATTGTAGCAATTTCCACAGAATAATTCCACTGAATGAGAAATATTTCCAATTAACTTTCTTCATGTCAAAGCATTTGAGTCACTGACAAATACTTTGTTTTCTGGGAAACGCATAACAGTCTAATTCTATGATTGTAAACATTTAGTGTAAATTATTTTATTTTATGTGAAGTTTAATAGCAGTTTTAATAAACAAACAAAAAAAATATATATGGCTCAGAGCACACCAGAGTGCACAAAAAACATACCTGCAGTTATTTTTTTTCTGAAATAGCACACCACAATACATAGTAGTGTTATTATGTTTTGTTGACATTCAGAATAATTGTCACTACAACATACCAACACCTTTACTCCAACACTAATACTCGATTAATCGAAGTTAATAATCGGCTAACTAATCGATTATGGAAATAATCGTTAGCTGCAGCCCTAGTTAATTGCGAACTACATTGGTCTGTGCATGATGGGCTAGTTGTAAGAGGATTGAACAAGGGTGAGATGTCTGCACAAAAAAAGTTGTTCAATGGTTGTAAGATGTATGCCACCTTTACTCTCCAAGACTCAGTGTAGGTAGCTGTCAGTACTGCTGTATTTCTCTTTAAGAATCAGTTACAATGCACTCCAGTTGGGGTGGCACAAAAAATATGTAGCACTTTGCTCTACCCTACGACCACTGGAGGATTTGTGGTCAAGTTGATTTGGTGCACACAGGAAGAATTAAGTTTGAAAATGCTTTACAGGCAGTAAGGCCTGGTTCACACCTGGGCGTTTTACAGCGCGTTCCTACGCGCTGTAAAATGCTCAACACGCGAAAACCAATAATTGCCTATGGGCATGGTTCCCACCTGGGAGTTTTACAGCTCGTAGGATACAGGAATACAGGAGCTTCTTTCGGGCATATTTGCCGAGCGTATCCATTAGGATACAGCCGGATAGCCGTCGGAAACGCGCTTTTGTCGCGCATTTCTTTTACCGCAAATCGCTGTAAAAACGCGTGGCAAATGCGCATATTCCGTACGTCCAGGTGTGAACCCAGCCTAAAGCTCATTGTGGTCTGCTAACTGACACGGGACAGGGTGTTTAATTTCCCTTTTCACCTGGACTTCAAGTTTAGGATATCAGTCACCTACAAGTGCAATTATCTGTGCATTGTTTTTGAAGGCTCATAGACTTGAATTGTCAAGAGCAATAAAGCACAAGCAATGTGTGGCACTGTAAGGTCTCGTTCACACCTAGGCGTATTGCATATGCGCGTTTGTCGCGCGTTTTTTTTACCGCGATTCGCGGTAAAAAAAGTTGTGCGACAAACGCGCGTTCCCGAAGGCTACTTGGCTGTATCCCAATGGA